CCCCAGCTGTCCTACAGGGGAAGAGTTCTTGTAGCCAACAATCTGGTTGCCTCGTCTCTGTGGCACAGACTCCAGGTGTTAACCCCACCGCCGGGCCTCATGAAACAACTGCAGCGGCTCCTCGTGGATTTCTTCTGGTCGGGTCATCACTGGGTGCCAGCATCGGTCCTGTACCTGCCTGTGGCGGAGGGGGGGCAGGGCCTCGTGGACATTACTGCGAGGACTGCTGCGTTTAGACTGCAGGCAGCTCAGCGGCTGCTGTATGGTGCCTCTCCCTGCTGGCTGGCTATGGCCCGGCTGTTGCTCTGGAGGGCAGGGGGCTTTGGTTTGGATAAACACCTGTTTCTGCTGAAGGCCCCTGCGTACAAGATAACTGGACTTGCACCTTTTTACTGCTCGGTCATCAATGCCTGGAAGATTCTGAGTTTTACCAGACCACCCGAACCCCGGCCTGGGATGTGGCTGTTTGAGGAGCCACTGTTTGACACTGGTTTTCTTTCTGGAACCCTTTTCTCTTCAGCCACCCTAAAAAATGCGTTCATTGAAGCGGGAGTGGTAAAACTTTGCCATTTGACGGGGGTCTCCACAGAAAAACTGGCTGAGGTGACGGGCATTCGATCAACCCGAGTTCTGGAGAACTTGGTAGATGAGGTGTGGCAGTCGCTGTCGCCATCCCACCGGACTTTTGCTCTGGATGCAGATCTGGCTGACCAGTGGAGAAAGGGACATGATTATGTTTTTCCTGCCCTGAGTGTGGGTCCTGCGGTGGGGGAATGGAGAGAGGAGGATGGTCTCCTGCTATCACTGGGGACTCTAACACCTGGAAAGTTCAGCTCCTGCAATGGGAAGAAGCTATACCTTAGCTGCGTAAAGGTGCTAAACCTCAGCTCGCTCGCAGGCGTCAGAGAGTCGAGGTGGACGGATGTGTTTGGCTTGGGCTTTTCCCCTCAGGGCAGCTGGAGGATCCTGTATAAATCTCCGGTTGAGAAACGGATGGCTGACATCCAATGGAGAATTGTACACGGTGCAATAGCCACTAACAAATATAGAGCTCATTTTGACCCGGGCACAAGGGGGGGGCTGTCCGTTCTGTTTTATGGCAGGAACATTGGAGCTTTTAGTGGTGTCCTGTCCCCGATTGGCTGGTCTTAAAACATTTTTACAGGGGTGGGTGGAAGGGTTCGGGGAGGTTTTCTCCATACCACTTTTTGTCCATGGCCCCAAATACATCCTGAAAAAGAAGGAAACCCTACTATTGATACATTTCTTGTATTAGCAATCTGGAAAAGTAGGAAGAACCAAGTTGCTGGAGTGGGATGGACGGATGTAGTGCTCTGTCTGAGGGGGCTGGTGGCAGCGCGTCTGAGGGTGGAGCATGCGTACTATACGCTGATCAATCATCTGCAGGGGTTTCTGGATGTGTGGGCTGTTGGGCAGGTTCTGTGCTCACTGGGGGAGAAGGACTCTCTAATATTGAAGTTTTAAAGGATAGGTGTAGTTTTTGTTTTTAAAGTGTGTAAAAGAGGATGTTTTTAAATGGGTAAAATGCTTTCAAATGGGGTTTTCAAATGATATTTATTTGGTAGTCATGAAAATCTGTTTATTTATTTATTTATTTGATTGTGTAATGTATTAGGTTTGTTCCGACTCTTTTGCAGGGTGGGTGTATGTTTAAAACAAATGCAAATAAAATTTGTTTTAAAAATCTTCTTCTTCTTCTTCTAAGTACATTAGGTTTCATAGAGCCAAACCATTTTAAGTGCTACTCAACTAGCTTTAGATAAGCCAGTCCTTTATTAGTATATACAGTAAGTGCTTTGTTAGTAATTGTATCGCTCGAAGTGGAGTCGAAAGAGATGAGTTTTCAGTCTGCGCCGGAAGTTGTGTAAGCTATCTGCTGTCCTGATTTCAATGGGGAGCTCATTCCACCATTTTGGAGCCAGGATAGCAAACCCACGTGTTTTTGCTGATGGGAACTTGGGTCCCCCTCGCAGTGAGGGTGCAGCGAGCCGTTTGGCTGATGCAGAGCGAAGTGCACGCGCTGGGGTGTATGGTTTAACCATGTCCTGGATGTAGGAAGGGCCAGATCTATTCACAGCATGGTACATGTGATATTTGAGTGTTTTATTTTTTTATTCATTTGCAAAAAGTATTTGAAAACTTTTGTTCACTTTGTCATTATGGGGTATTGTGTCTAGAATGTTGAGAAAAATAATGAATTTAATCAATTTTGAAATATGGCTGTAACATAACAAAATGTGGAAAAAGTGAAGGGGTATGAATACTTTCCGGATGCACTGTAACAAGTAGAAGTTTATAATTTAAAATGTTTAATCTTAAATCAAATGAAAAAAACATCAGAATATACCTAAAGTGCCGAAAGTAAAAGTATTTATTTTGCATTTCAGAAGGATTTATATAAAATGACTGCTGCATAATATCCCAACCTATAGTTATGTCAATGTTTATTCATTTTTACTTTATTTTTTATTTTGTAGTACCTCCAGTAAATGTACTTTTTACTGTCTCTCACACTGATCTAAACATTTAAGTCCAGAACAGGAGAAAACATTTATTTTCTTATTCTTCGTATTTTCTTCCACCCAATTTGTGTGCCTTTAAGTAGTGAGTGTTGAACAAAGTGTTGTAAAGCCCAGCCCCAAGGTCAATCTGGAGAAGAAGAACTGCCCTGTTTGAACGTGCTCCCATACATAAAGAACATTCATGTCACTTTGAATAAAACCCCTGTGTGGACTCTGCTCTCACACGACACACTGAGCACATGCTTTAGTCATCCAGCTCAGGTCAGATGATGTTTCTGAAGACAGCTGTCAGCGGGGGGGGCATGGGGATCTGTCCTACAGGGGAGAGACCTGACAGGAGTCCTGGTGACACACACATGCATCATATGGAAAACATACAAACCTAGTGACTTGTGACTTTTGCTCTGGAGACTTCATGAATCACTCTCATGTGCATGTGATGAGGTCATCTGCTACTGGTTCACTGGAGTGAATAAGAAATGGACATGTGCATTTTTACCAGTGGTGTAATGTATTTTTTATTTAACCTTTATTTAACCAGATAAAAGCATTGAGATACAATCTCATTTTCAATGCTGACCTGGCCAAGAAGGCAGCAACGTTACACATAACACAACACAAACATATAAAATACAGAGAACATAACTAAGAAAACAAAAGACGAAAAGGCAGTCACTACATTGTGCACATTAGGACAGTAAGAAAGGTACTTATTACTGCAAGAGCAGCTGGTGGTGAGGACTTCAGACAACTTCAATTTAAAACATGCTATAGAGACAAGTGCCATCAGTTTTAGGCTTGATTGAAGGTCATTCCAAGACCAAGGACCATAATAAGAAAGACTCCTTTTTCCAGCCTCAGTCCGTACAGTAGGAACCTGGAACCGTATCCAGGCACTGGATCTGAGGTTGTAAGAGTCACAAACTGGGGCAAATCTGACACATATGTAGAGTGGAAGCTTACCTAAAATGGCTTTATACATTAATAAAAACCAGTGCTGCATCCTACGCATAGTAAGTGAGGACCATCCAGTTAGGCTATACAGTGTGCAATGATGAGTCCTATAGGGTGCATTTGATATGTAACGCAGTGCAGCATGGTAAAGTGGGTCAAGTTTGGCCAAAACAGTGGGACAGGCAAATCTATAAATGGTATCACCGTAGTCCAGCTGGGACAGGAATAAGCCAGAGACCAACCTTTTACGGGATGAAATTGAAAAACAACATTTAAGTCTGAAAAGGAAGCCAAGAGTGAATTTCAATTTCTTAGTTAGAACTTCAATATGGTGTTTAAAGTTCAGATTACTGTCCAACCAAAAGCCCAGATATTTGTAGGTATCGACAAACTCAACAGAGACACCATCAAGGGTGTCAATGGAGAGGCAGGAGGACGCTGACTTGGGAGCAAAAAGCATTGCTTTGGTTTTCTTACTGTTCAATAGCAGTTTAGAATCAAGAAGCGCATGCTGCAGCGTGATACAATCTGATTTTAAATTGGAAACGGCCATATCCAGAGAAGGAGCACATGAGTATACAATAGTGTCATCAGCATACATATGATGGGTAGAAAATTGCATCTGATTACAAATATTGTTTACATATAATAAAAAGAGCAAGGGCCCCAAAATAGAGCCCTGTGGAACTCCCTTCTCCAAGGTGACAGGGTCAGAGACAGTACTACCCAACCTGACGCATTGAGTACGGTCGGTTAGATAACTCTGAAACCAGCAAATGGCATTATGACCGAAACGAGACACCAACATAACATTAGACATAATGTGGTGATCTACAGTATTAAAGTACATTTACTCAAGTACTGATTTTGAGGTACTTGTGCTTTACTTGAGTATTTCCATGTTACATACTTTTACTCCACGACATTCTAGAAGCACTTTGTACTCAAATACATTTATTCAACAAAAGCAGGCACTCTACAGATTCAGATTATAAGCTAATATGAAATATACATGAACAAATACATAAACTATATAGATATATAATAATAGGTTAAGATATCCAACCGCAGTATATTAAGTTATTAAAATTAGCTCCACCTGTACCAGCTGTGATGAACACATGAATGTATCAATAATAATCCAGTCATTTTATATGATTCTGAAATGTATTCTTTTGGTACTTTATTTTAATTCTTTTACTTAAGTAAGATTTAGTATGCCGGATTTGTACTTTTAACAGAGTTTTTTTTACACTTTAGTATTTCTACGTTTACCACAATGTTTCCGAACTCTTTAGTGAAGTCCTTGTTTTGTGCCCTGTGTGTGTGTGTGTGTGTGTGTGTGTGTGTGTGTGTGTGTGTGTGTGTGTGTGTGTGTGTGTGTGTGTGTGTGTGTGTGTGTGTGTGTGTGTGTGTGTGTGTGTGTGTGTGTGTGTGTGTGTGTGTGTGTGTGTGTGTGTGTGTGTGTGTGTGTGTGTGTGTGTGTGTGTGTGTGTGTGTCAGGTACTCTGAGTGTGTTGGTGTCCTTTGCCTTCATCTTCAACCAGTGTCTGGGCTGTGGCCCCCAGACCCCCCAGTGGGCCAGTCTGACCTACTTCCTCCCCTTCATCATCGTCTTTCAGTTCGGCTGGGCCGCCACCCAGATCTCACACCTGTCACTCATCCCAGAGCTGGTCAGCTGTGAGCACGCTAAAGTGGAGCTCACTGCATACAGGTGGGCACACACACACACACACACACACACACACACACACACACACACACACACACACACACATATACACATACAGAGGTGTAAACACATTTACTCAAGTAAAATTTATTATTTCAATTTGTTGCTACTTATTTCTTCTACCCCACTACAATTCAGAGGTCAATTGTGTACTTTTACTGCACTACATGTATTTAATACCATGTACTTTTTGCACTAAAACAAAGGGAAGGAGTTGTTGTTATTTATAGGTTAATATGCTATGATTTTACTGGTTGGGCCCACTTGAGATCAGATTTGGCTGTTTGACCCCTGTGCTTCACACTGTGTGTGTGTGTGTGTGTGTGTGTGTGTGTGTGTGGGTGTGTGTGTGTGTGTGTGTGTGTGTGTGTGTGTGTGTGTGTGTGTGTGTGTGTGTGTGTGTGTGTGTGTGTGTGTGTGTGTGTGTGTGTGTGTGTGTGTGTGTGTGTGTGTGTGTGTGTGTGTGTGTTGTGTGTAGGTATGCGTTCACAGTGATAGCCAACATCACAGTGTATGCAGTGGCGTACCTGCTGTTCCACATGCAGGCGGGGGAGGATGAAGACGCTCTGGGACCCGTAGATATCCCCGTCTTCAGGGTGAGGACCACTTCTAATTATACTGACTTTACAGTTACAGAGTGTGGGGGGGGGGGGCTTCTGAAAATCCCCACTAGTCATTAAAATACCATGACACACACAAAAGGCCCTGTTTCCCTCGCTGCAGAGCTGAGCTGGGATCAGTGGATTGTTGCTGGAGCAGCAGCCAGTATTGGAAAGTAACCAAGTACATTCATTCAAGAACTATACTTACAAGTATAATTTTGAGGTACTTCAACTTAACTTGATTAAGTTTAGAGGAGATACTTAAAGCATGTGAACTGCAGACCGGCCCCAGAATGGACTGACCTGAGGCCTGTACTACGAAGCCGGATATTTGCTTAGCGAGCTAACTTCAGGGAAAACTCTGGGTTTCCGGTCCAACGACGCTGGTTCTCTTTTTAGCGGGCTAGATCTCCATGGTAACTTATGCTGAGCGGCTAACCTGCTCTGGAGCAGGTTAGGTTCCAGGATAAGAAATCAACTCAGTGAAAGCACCGCCTGCTGACCAATCAGAGCTCAGTGTGCAGAGTTTAAAGCTATCAAGTCATATTACAGGATAGAGGAAATACAGAAAAACTGCCGTTGCAGGAAAGACGGCCGGCAAAAATCAACTGACTGTGTGAACGTGAAAATGAATAGAATATCCCCTCCCATCTTCAGAGCAATCTGACTATTATAACATTAGCGTTAAGAAAGCTTACTTAGATATCTGCCACGACATAAGTAACCAGATCAGAGTAACATTACGTACAGTCCGCGGCACTGTGAGTGCAGACGGCGATGTGTCCCATTATCATTCACATCATATCACATCATAATGTATCATATATTTCCTTATCTGAGTCAGCTTCTTGAGCCGTATCTGGCCGTGCAACACTCACAGTGTCACATACTGTATGCAGAAGTATTATTTTAAGCAACACATTAAGTTGATGAAACACTCGAGTCAAATGTAATTAAAGTCAGATCCACTCGTGTCTTGGACGGGGCAGTGATTTCATAAACCTGTTAATGTACGCATTCAAACACTTTTTCTTTTACCAGCAGTATTCACCTTGCAGGTGCAGCTATGTGGCTTTTATCCTGGATAAAGTGTTTAAGTCATGGATGTTTAAAGTTTAACTTCTTCATATATGTCTAATATTATAGTTGACTTTTCATTCAGGAAGTATGACGTTGCGCTGTCAGTACGCTTCTCCATGTTTGTGATTGGTCAAATGTTGCTAGCCCCGCCCCTGTTATGTGAACGTGCACATAACTAGATAGGGCACACCGGGCTTGAGTTACCGAGTTGATAACCAGCGTCGTAGGACCGCTTAGCGAGAGCGCGTTTGTTTTGGGTTAGTTAAGCCGGGTAACTCAAACATATCCAGGATATGTTGAACCGGCTTCGTCATACAGGCCTCTGGTTGGATCTCCACTTCCCCTCACCATTATGAGATGAGGCATCCAAACAATATGTGACGGTTTTGGAAACCAAAGCCCCGCTATAACTCTGGTGCTATATTCACCCTCTGCCAGTCACTGCAATAGAGTGGTAGTATGTTTTGAATCCCTCTCCCACAGTTCAGAGGAAGTGAAACAGACAGATGTCATCGCAAACCTTGACCTTGCTGTCCTGTGTGATTTCAGAACCTGGCGCTGATAGTGCTGGGCATCGGGGCGCTCTTCTCCCTCTTCTTCCACCTGGGAATCAAAGAGAAGAGCTCTGGAGCAGCAGGCGAGGCGGGAGGAGAGGAGGGGAGGAAGAGGGTAGAGGAGGAAGAGGAGGAAGAGGAAGAGCGCAGACCCCTGCTCCCTGTGACCTCCTCGTCCCTGCTGCAGTGGAAGTGTTGGCTGCAGCAGCCTTCTTTTTACCAGGTGGGAACATGTGGACCTGGAGCAGCTGTTCTGAGTTTGGACTGACAGAAAGATGTTTTTAGATCATTACATTATGCTTTTAGTGCATTCAACTATGAAGACACAAACTCTAAGGCAAGAACCCTGCAGGTACATTTCCTATCTGTAAACCCATCCAGATGAAGTGCTACTGCTTTACTTCCAGCCAAATCCTTTGTGAGCGCTACATACAGAAGAGATTATTATTTGTAATCAAAGATTCAGTTCCAACAGGTTGGAGAGCAGGTTTTCAGTCTGCAACAGGATGTGTAGACTCTCCGTTGATATCAATGGGGAGCTGCTTCCACCATTATGGGGCCAGGATAGCAAACAATAATTAGCAGTGTTTCATTTCAGCAGCTGACAGTTTCCTCATGTTGCTTTGTTTAGTCCCAGGCTGTGTGACAGCTGTCCCTGTCTCTCTGCAGGTGGCCTTACTCTACATGTCTACCAGGTTAATAGTCAATCTGTCTCAGACATACATCTCCATGTATCTCATCAACACTCTGGGGCTGCCCAAGGTAAAGACTAAGTCACCCCAATCATCCTTTTTATAAATATATATCAATATATTCCAGTTTTAACATGGAGCAGCCCCTCACTGATTCTCATCTCTTTTTGTTCCTCCCACCAACAGAAGTTCATCGCCACCATCCCGTTAGTGATGTTCCTGAGTGGCTTCCTGTCCTCATTCATCATGAAGCCTGTCAGTAAACTCATTGGGAAATCTGTAAGTAAGACTGGCTACACACCTTTTTTTAATATCATTTACTTTTTTCACACAGACATGTTTTTTCCCATGAAACAAAACGAAAATGTAGTCTGATTATATACTTTCACCTTTCATCTAGAATGTCTGAATTACTGCAACAATCAGGACTATAAAGACATATTTTGTCCACTCCATTTACTTCCTTCAGTACTGAATAGTGTACAACACTCTCACTAAATATCTGTCACAGATAATGCGCTGCATTCAGAGCTTTAGATAAACAGAGACAAAGAGTGGACTGACAGGTTCTCTGTAGTCAGCAGAGTGCTTCCTCATCGGATCCACACTATGGCCGTATCTCATTTCTGGGATTTCCCCTCCTCGACTCCTATCCTCGTGTCTTAGTCCCGCCCACAGGAGATGCGAGCGGAGGAGTCAAGGAGGGGAGCCGAGGAGAGAGGAGGGGAAGCAGCAGGCGGTTAGAGAAATGAGAACTCCTCTCCTCTGAGCGGTCATTTTAAAGAGACGTCCATTAATGATGACAGGAGGTACAGCAGCCCTCTGTCTGATGGACAGATGTGTTCATGACCACTTATATATTTACTTTTAATTCATTCACAGTGCGGTATAATGAGACAATAACAGGCTACAGATGCAGACACACACACATATATATATAGCCTATAGGTATATATATTTATAATATAAATATATACAATTTCAGAATCAAACAAGTATGAGAGCACTCATAACGTAACACTATCAGAGACTGGATATACCCCCCCCCCCCCTCTCTGGTCGCTACAATGAGGAAAATAAATTACGGGCCAAAAGTTTTATTTACAAGTATTAAAAGTAAGCAGAGGACACCAAACCAACTGAGACCTGTCTGTCCGCTGCATCTACGCACACACTGTACCACACACACCTACACCACACACGCACCTACAGCTCCTAAAGCATATAATCAGGCTACAGCCGTTGTGTATTTTATTATGTGAAGCACTAATGTTTAGAAAAATATCGACTTTGTTTGTAGATATCTACTAAACTAAAGCAAATAAAGAGAGTAGGCCTGTTATACTGAGTGATATATATTATACACACTGCTCTGCTTTCTGCACGGACCTCACAGCTGTTCTCTCTGTAAACATCGCGTCGTGATGAAAGCAGTTAATAAAATAATATCCAGGGGATGCATGCAGCGCTGTCATTGGCTGAGATCAGTCCGGCCGTGCGTCACGACTCTTTGAAACATCTCACTGTTGCCGGAAATACATCCGTGGAGGACCCATCAGTGTATCCTCGTTTATAACTCCTCCAGAGAGCCTCCTCGACGCTCGATCCTCGGTCCTCGAAGTGCATTTAGAGAAATTAGATGTCCTTCAACATGGCGCGCTGAAATTCATTTCCGGGTCACTACCGGAGGACCGAGGAGTCGAGGAGGGGAAATCCCAGAAATGAGATACGGCCTATCACTGAGTGATACGTAAACAAACAGCAGCATCTGATTGTGTACACTGATCCATCTCACCTGTCACACGGTGTGTCTCTCTCCTGATTGGTCCAGCTCACCTACTTCCTGGGCCTGCTGTTGATCATGGCCTTCTCCTACTGGGTGCTGCTGGAGGGCCAGATGGGTCAGCAGGTGTACGGGGCCGCGGTGCTGCTGGGGGCGGGGTCCGCCACCATCCTGGTCATATCACTGTCCATGACCGCGGAGCTCATTGGAGGACAGACGGTACTGTGTGTGTGTGTGTGTGTGTGTGTGTTGGTGTGTGAGAGAGAGAGAGAGAGAGAGAGAGAGAGAGAGAGAGAGAGAGAGAGAGAGAGAGAGAGAGCGAGAGAGAGAGAGATTCGAGAGAGAGCAGTCGAGCAGAGCTAGAGAGCGCTAGCGAGATAGAAGAGGCGAGAGAGAGAGAGAGATAGAGAGATAGACTGAGAGCGTGATCTCTCTCTCTCTCTATCTAGCTATCTCTCTCTCTCTCTATCTCTCGCTCTCTCTCTCTCTCTCTCTCTCTTCCTCTCTCTCTCTCTCTTTCTCTTTCTCTCTCTCTCTTCCCTCTCTCTCCCCCCCTCTTCCTCTCTCTCTGTCAGTACGGTGGTGTGCTGCCCGGCCTGTGTGTGGTTCTATCATAACGTCATGGTGATAGTGACGGGGGGCGTGGCCGTCGTCGCCGCTCTGGCGCTCTGCTCCATCCTCATCTGGCCAATCAGGATCCGACCCCGTGAGTCTCTCCACCTCACTGATAGAGAGTGAAATAAGGCTGTGCCCTAACTACTCCTTCCCTCTGTGTGTGTGTGTGTGTGTGTGTGTGTGTGTGTGTAGGTGGTCTGCCAGAGGATGCAGCCATTGTAAACTAGCAGCCCCCCCCCCCCACACCTCTTTTACGGACAACGTTCACCCTGCGAGACAACAGGAAAACTGCAGTCAGCAGGAGGAGCTTCACTTGAAAGATTCTTCTGTAGTTTGCAGGAACAGCAGGAACATTCAGCCCTTTCTGATGAAGTCAGAGCAGAGCAGGGAAACCAAAGGAACCGAGAAGGGAGACTTTTTATTTTATGCTTAACTGACAGTTATAGCTACTAAAAACCTACATCCTGTTTTCCATAATTTCCCCAAAAAGATGTGTCGTTGCAGTCTGGGTGTTATGAAAATCAGCTGAATACTCATTTGCATCATAAAAGGTCATCAGAGCTAAAGAAGAGGACGCTAAAGGGAACCAGATCCAGACTGTGGTGCGTTCACAGACACTGCACAATAAGCAGTTTTAACACAGTTCTTTGCAATGTTGGCGACTTTCTTTTGATGTGACCACATTCTAAACTTCATTCCAAGACTCTAAGTGCTAAGGCTTCAGTAAAGGTTCATTACACTAGAGAAGGACACATTGATAGAGCACTACATTGAAACAGACTGTCAGCCGGTACAGACGACACTGAAACAGGAAGCTACCTGAGCATCAGAGAAGTCTCACTCAGAATCACTTTACATACAGGACACTGTCAATATGTTTACACTTTTAGTTGGAATCATCATGGAACAACTCATTACGATAAGATCATATTTCTATTGTAATAATTTCTTTGTACATTGTTTTACCCCTTTATAATCACAAACCTTAAGGAAAATATATAAGGGATATTTTTATAATCACAGATGAACTTGAAAAGCAGAATTGTATTACATTTGAATTAATTTTAAAGGGATCAACTGATTTTTAATAGGTGAATGCCACTATAAGGGATTTACACTGGTGATGTTCAGAACAGGGACTTCTGTGCTGCTGTTGTTTTATAAAGAGACACGTATTAAACATTGGTATGAGGTGCAACTGGAAATGTATCTGTTTGCCTTCAGTCATTCACTCTGCCTTATAGAAAAGTCAAGCACATAACCACATGGTACCAGCAGGAGGAGAGAAGCTGAAGTGAGGGAAATAAAGTCAACAAATATTTTTAAAAGGCTGCTTTTGGGGGGTTTCCCTCTCCTGTAGTGTGTTATAGGTTTTAGTGCATGTTAATGGTCTGCAAAGGCTACAATCCCTTTGTTCCCTCCAGAGGGAGTTTCTCCCTAACACTAAATACTGATATACACCTGAAAATGATTTAAAGTGGACCTATCATGCTATATTTGAATAATATAGTGTAGGACCATACCTATATAAGGCATATTTATACTTTTTTATTTTCAAAATACCAAACAGATCATGCATTTTAGCCATGCCTCATTTTGCTCAATTTGACATTTTTTTTAGCTCTGGGCAGATTCTGTGAGAACAGCACCATCTACAGGCCTGGCATATGTACTACAGCGTCTCCAGCTCTTTCGAACGGCAATGGCCGTGGCTGTCTCCTCCTGATTGGTGGAGTTGGCCCAATAGCCGGAGCTCCTCCGTCCTGATGTCAGGACAGTGTTAAAATCTGGATCAGTTTTTATCAGATCCGTTGCAGCCCCTTTTTTAGAGATTTGGGTATGGAGGAAAATAGAGAGGGTTGTGTTTTCTGACACTTGGTGAGTTCCCTGGAACACCGGGGACACATATTCATGTATAAAAGACGTGCAAAAGTGCATTTTGCATGATAGGTCCCCTTTAAGCAAGCAAAGACAATCATTCCTTTTGTGTGTTTAGAACATTCCTATCTGGAGTACATGTACCTCTCCGATCTGCGATGTCTTGTTCTAACACTGATTGTGACTGCTGGTGGGAAATAACAGGAAGTAGCTTTTTATTAAACATTGTCTTATTTATTTTTGTAAATAAACAAATAATGAACAAAACACATCATTTGAGCAGACACTCTGCTCTTAAGGCATCAACATTATACTTTAGACTTCAACAGATACAAGCCTTTAATCCTGTAACCCTCCACTCAGATCAGAGGTGGATTCTTATTGGAGCAGGCAGTAATGGGAAGTAACTAAGTACATATATTCAAGAACTATACTTAAGTATCATTTTGACGTGCTTCAACTTTACTTGATTTTAGAAGCCAATATTGTACTTTTTACTGTACATTGATTTGACAACATTAGTTAGTTTGCTCCTCCCTATTATTCATACTAAATAGAAATCAACTAATAAATGATGATCTACTTAGCAACATAACAAGTCATTAAAGTTAGCTCCTACCTTTACAACCGCAAAATTAAAAGGGTGAACACATTCATTCATCCAGTCCAGTGATTCAATAAATGGATATTCTGCTAAATTAGCACTTTTTGTTTTGGCACTTCAAACATATCGATGCTTTTGGTACTTCAAACATATCCATGCTTTTGGTACTTTAAACATATCCATGCTTTTGGTACTTCAAACATATCCATGCTTTTGGTACTTTAAACATATCCATGCTTTTGGTACTTCTTTTAAGTAAAAAACAAAAATCCAGGAATTGTAGAAGATCATTTCTACACCGTGATATTAGTAACTTTACTTTAGTAAAAGATCTGAAGTTTTCTCCCGCCTCTGGAGGCAGCGGTCTGTCAGCACAGTCCATCATGTTGCTGCATAAATCAAAGAAAGAGTCTCTCTGCTGAGCTGCTCTGCTGCGTTCAGGGCGCGCTGGCGTTCAGGGCGCGCTGGCGTTCAGGGCGCGCTGGCGCTCAGGGCGCGCTGGCGTTCATCTTCTCCTGGCAGCCGTCCCACAGCTGCAGCAGCCGGTTGTCTTTGTTGGCGCAGAAGTCGGTGAAGTCTCGCAGCAGCCGGTCGGCCAGCCTCTCGTCCCCCAGCACCCCCGTCCTCCAGGCCTTGGTCAGCATGGTGTTGTAGGCCCAGTAGTAGCCCACCCGCTCCTCGCTGCCGTACGGCCCCTGGCTGTTAGAGCTGTTGGAGTTCCTGCGCCGCCGCTGCTGCCCGCTGGAGAACTTCCTCCTGGAGTAGGGCAGCTGCAGGAACACGGTGCCTGGCAGACAGGAGGCAGGTGGGACGTAAGTACATGTACTTAAGTTCTGTTCCTAAGTAAGGTACTTGGGCTGTCCGCTGTCCGCTGACTAGTAGACCCCTCTACCCCCCCCCCCCCCCCCCCCCCCCCTTTCAACTCTAAATCTACATTTTGTTGGCTAATGTTTCACTTTTTACTCCACTACATTCATTGTACACACTTAGTTACAGATTTAACTTATGACATAATATCGACACACGTTACATTACATGATTAAAGGTTGAGCTAGCCAGTAATTGAAATAAACCCCACATTTATCAAGTGCAACATCCAAGTGCACCAATCATTTTAATACAAAAATATATGGTGCTTAAATGGTCCATTCTGCAACGAGTACTTTTACTTTTGGTTCTTAAAGTATTTTTTGACACTAATAGATTTGTACTTTTACTTCTTCAATCACTGTTAAATCCTGTGGGTTTCCAGGAATAAGTGTGTGTGTGTGTGTGTGTGTGTGCGTGTGTGTGTGTGTGTGTGACTAACCTGTGACGTGGACATACTGGGGCTTGTTTTCAGACGGGAAGTTGAAGGCAGAAGCTGAAACCTTGTCGTGCACGAAGCCAAATCTGTGAGAGGAAGAAGCACAACATGTCGCTCAGAAACACAGAAATTATATTTGGTCTTGGATGTTTTCAGATGCTTTACTTGAATAAAAGTACCAATACATTCATTACAACTCCTGCATTCTAAAGTATTACAAGCTAAATGTACTTAAAGTAAAAAAAGTGAGAGTACTCCTACCAGAGTGTAGGAATACTCTGTTACAGTAAAAGTCCTTCAATCAAAATGAAAACAGTTAAAGCCTTTTATTGTCACGGCAGTAGGACAATAACATACATGACTTTAAAAACACGGCAGTAGGACAGAAAACATAAACAATCATACGGGGGGAATAGATAGTTACAAATATTGATATCAAAATAATTTTTAAAGTGCATTTAAAATGTGTATGAGGTGTATATGTGTGAAGATGGTTACGGTTACTGCATTAAGTGTGGTGGTTAAGCAGCCTGACGGCCCAGGGGTAGAAACTGTTTTTGGGTCTGTTTGTCCGTGACTTGAAGCTCCTGTTTCTCCTCCCAGAAGGCAGGAGAGAGAACAGTCTGTGACCTGGGTGAGAGCTGTCCTTTATTATTTGATTTGCTCTGCTGAGGAGTGGGAGGTGGAGATGTGTTCCAGAGAGGGCAGGGGGCAGCCCACGGTTTTCTCTGCCATCCTGATCACTCTCTGCAGGGCTTTCTTGTCCGCAGCTGAGCATCCTGCATACCACCCAGAGATGGAGTAAGACAGCACGCTCTCGATGGTCGCCCGGTAGAAGGACACCAGCAGCTTCTTGTTCAGTCGGTTTCTCCGAAGCACCCTCAGGAAGTGTAGTCACTGCTGGGCCTTCTTAACTGCTGCAGTGGTGTGTGATGTCCAGCTGAGGCTCTCCGATATCTGTACCCCCAGGAACTTAAAGGTGGAGACCCTCTCCACTCTCTCTCCATTGAGGTGAAGGGGGGCGTGTTCTGGACGGTGCTTTCTGAAGTCTATGATGATTTCTTTAGTTTTGCTTGTGTTCAGATGTAGGTTGTTAGCTGAACACCACGCAGACAGCTTCAGGATCTCGTCTCTGTATGCCGACTCGTCTCCCTTATGTATTTGACCGACCACGGTGGTGTCATCTGCAAATGTTATAATGGAGTTGGAGGGGTGGGTGGGAGAGCAGTCGTGTGTGTAGAGTGTGTAGAGCAGGGCTTCTCAAACTCCGGACCAAGGTCCGGATCCGGACCGAACTACAAATCAATCCGGACCGAACCCTGTGTCCCATTATAAAAAATAAAAATTATACAAAATAAAAAAATAAAAACTTTCAGATTCTGATGTAAATTAATGTATATTTTCTTGTCTGACGCGTTGTGAGAATGAACATGCATATATATTTACTTGTGTGCGTGAGCGTGACACGCATTGCAGAACGCAAGTTAACCGCAAGTTTACCTTGACTTTCTAATGCTTCTAATACCTTTTTTGCCGAGGTTCAAAGCATTGGCTACAGACAAACAGTGCCATTTCTCCCACTAGTTCAAGCCATCATACTGTATGTATGTATTGAATGTGTGTGTGTGTGTGTGTGTGTGTGTGTATACAGGGGCACCGTTTGCCGACAGGCAAGGCAGGCAAGTGCTTGGACCAGAAGGGGGCCCCCTAAGAAGGTAGATTAAGAAGGTCCACAGCAACGACAACATGATACACCCTTTAATTTACAAGTAACGACATGTCGGGAAACCGTGCATAGCGCGCCGTAAGAAACTGCTTCTTAATTTCAGTTTCGTTTCTCCGCTCCGGGGGGGGGGTGTTTACTGGCATTGATCTGGACCAGTGACCTTGTATAAAATTCACAAGTGGACCTTTAATAAAAAAGTTTGAGTACCCCTGGTGTAGAGTGTGTAGAGTAGCGGGCTCAGCACGTAGCCCTGCGGGGAGCAAGTGCTGAGGGTGCGGGTGGAGGAGCAGTAGGGGCCTATTTTCACTGTCTGAGGATGGTCTGTTTGGAAATTGTTTACCCAGGCGCATATGATGGGGGGGAAGCCTAGGCTTGACAGTTTTTCCACTAGTATGTCAGGTATGATGGTGTTAAAAGCCGAGCTAAAATCAACAAACAGCATCCTGATATAGTTGCCTGGGCCTTCTAGGTGGCTCACAGCTGTGTGAAGGACCGTGGCGATGGCATCATCCGTGGATCTGTTGGCTCTGTAGGCAAACTGATGAGGGTCGAGGGAGGGTGGGAGGCTGGCTTTGATGTAGTCGGCTATCAGCCTTTTGAAACATTTCATAACCGCCAATGTTAGGGCTATGGGCCTGTAGTCGTTGAGCTCTCTGACTGGTGTCTTTTTGGGGACAGGAATGATGGTAGCCGTC